AAAAGTTAGAAAAATAAAAACTTCTGAAGGTAACATGTTAAATACTTAAGAATAATTTCGAACATTTACAAATAATTTCGAGTAATAAGAATAATTTTAAATTACGAATAATTTTTAATAATGGTTATAAAATTATTTGACAGTTATTATATTTTCTTTTTCGTATTCGATTCGAATTATTATTCCATCGTAAAATACGAATCGAAACGAATTAAATGATATTGAATATCAAATAACTAATAATTCGTTTTAGGTATAAAACTGAGAAGGGTTGAGCAGATGCCCCGGTCGCCAAATTATATTATTTTGAGAGCAGCCAAATTTTGATTGTTATGCATTAGAAATGAATTTTAATGTAAAAAATATAAATAATATTTTATAATTACTTTATTCAGTCTTTATGATATATTATATTTTATATGGGGGAGGGGGGGGGGGGGTGCAAGATAATTTTAAAAGAAATTCTAGGAGTTATTCAAGAATATCTAAAGTTTCAAAAATTTATTAGGATTAGTGACTAAAAATATTGACAACTTCTAATACATAAACTCAAATGGAAATAAATGATCAAATTTAAATTTATATAACCGACGTACGAATCACTATAAAATAAATGGCTCTAAAATGAACTTTGTAAAAAAAATATAAATTTTTAAGCATTTAAAATTTGATATAATTTAAATTATATTTAAAAAAAAATTAAAGGAAATATTGATTAATTGGCAAAAATTTCTATAAGATTATTGAATTTATATAAACTTACAAAGTATTCATGAAAAATAAATATGGTGTAAAAAAATGGTAAGAATATAAGGCATATTAGAAATTATCTTCTTTGAAAATTTATATAATAATTTTAATATTAGGAAAATAGTCTAAATAAAATTCGTTTGATATTGTGCAAAGAATCTATAAAGTTTTTAGAACATATTCAATCATAGTTAACCTTTTATACCATAGTTTGCATTTAGCTAGTAATACATCATGGAAGACATACTTTAAAATTCTCACAATAAAAATCTGCCAAATTTCTAATATATTATCTACCAAGATTTGAAACATATTAGGAAGGATTCTGTGAAAATAAAGTTTTGTAAGTGCTGCCTGTTAATCAAAAATATTTCATTCATTTGAATAATGAAAGTATTTAAGAGGGAGATAAATATATTTTTTAATAGGATGGAGGGGGGGGGGTAGAAACCATCTATAGAATATATGATTAGATAACTTTTGTGTTTATAGGAGTTAGGATATATTTCGTTTAATCCTAAATAAATTCGATAATTTTAGACTAATCTGAATAAATAAAACATCTTCTATATCCGAAAAGTATAGGTTATTTGAAATAATTAATATATATTTTTTAATATATTTAAAAATGTTTGAAAAATATATAATAATACTATAAAAAAAAAGAACGGAGATGGTGTGACGCAGGGAAACAAAAATGAAAAAGGGACGTAAGTGTTGTCTAGGATAGCTCTTTGGCTAGAAGACTACCATTGAAACTGATATAATTAGCTTTGAGAATCGCTATGGATAATCGTTGACGAAGAAAAAAACCCTCTCGAGGTTCTTCTGAGATTTTGCTGATTTGTGATCCTAAGTTTTTGAAAAATGCTAAGGCGAGTTTGCCGAAGGTGCCAAGAGTGGTTGATATGATTGGGATGAAGCAATAATCGTTCATTATTTCTGTGTATTTAGAAGTTTTAAGTTGTTCCTTCTGGTCAAGGATGTTGATGGCGTGGTTGGATGGGGCCAAGGGGTCAATACAGGAATAGTCCCATACCAAAAGTTGGCCTCTCCTCCATGGGATTTGAGAGATCCCGTCAGGACGTTTACCGTCAGATCTAAAAAGACCCTGTGGTTCTAGAGTGGAAGGAATTTGGGCGGATTTCAGTGCATGTTGGATGATTGTATTACATTGCTTGTGTCTGATGAATCGTCCATTGCAGGAGCGACAATGTAAACTATGTCTACCCTTCGAGTCAACTGGCGAGTTGCACCCTGAGCAGATGTGAGGGTGAGTGATGGAACAATTTAGACGAATGCCGATGGCGTGGGTAAAATCATTGTTGGATAGTTGAAGCTGAAGATTGGTAGATGGGATGGCCTCAAGAAACTCGTGTCCGTTTTTTTTAATACTTTATATTATTTATTATTTGAAAATTGAAAATAAAGAGAGTTTCTATTAAAAAAAAAATATATATATATATTTTATAAAAACTATATTTTTTTAGAAAATTGAATTTGAAAAAAATTTTTTTTGCCCCAACTATGACATACTTTGGGTTCGTTGGGACACACATATGTGAAAGTTGGTCCACTCATAAAATAGAGGTCTAAATAAATAAACGAATTTAAAATCGGTATTCCGGTAAGACTAGAGATTATGACACATTTGATTTAATTGATAATTGACATAACAAATAAGTATTGATTTTGGTGGAGTGCCTTAAAAAAAATATATATATAAATATCTTACCTGTAAGTAATGATAAATTTTTATCTGAGATTTTAGGATATAAATTAATGGCTTTTCCATAATCTTCAGCAGAAGATGTTTCTATCCTTTTTATTGGAATTTCAAAATAATTAGTAAATGATAAAATGAGCTAAAATGGCGTGTCCCAGCTATACCCAACCATGACCGAGTCAACTAACTCTGTAAATATTATTCAGAATCATATTAATTCCTGTTTATTGATTCTAAAAATTTGTCAGATTAAAAAATAGGGTTTAAACCTTTCTAAAATTTATTTATGGTAAAGTTTGCAATTATTTTTTATAACATTTGGTATGTTTTAAAACACATTGTTTTCTGTAAAAATTAAAATAAATATTAAATATTTTCTAATTTTTTTTAGCCAATCATGAATGATGTAATTATCATTGTCTATTTTAGGTTAAAATTTCCAAAAATAATAGCTCAAATTATAATTCGAGTAACTTAACGTTTCCCTGTACTCAACTCCCCGGTCTCCTTTACTTTTATAATGATATCTAGAAAAGAAATTGCTTTAATTTTGTTAAAACTTATAAAACCCACTCCTATTTATATATAATTATGTCAAAAATATCTTATTCTACTAAAAGGTACGTAAAAAAAATCATAAAAATCGGTGAATTAATTTTTTTTAAACAAATTTTCATATTAAAAATAGAGTTGTTATAAATTATTTGGCCATATGCATAAATACGACATGCTAAGACAAGAGTAAGGGGGCGTCATTCTACAGAATTATAATTTTAATTTATAAGAGTGGAAATTTAATTACGTCATACATGATTGGTTAAAAAGATTTGAAAAATATTTATTATTTTAATCTTTACAGAGGACGATGTGTTTTAGCATACCTAAAGTAACAAGATATAATTGCAAACTTTTTCGTTCAGATTTTTAAATAAAACCTTTAATAAAAACTTTAGGAAAGTTTAAACCCTATTTTTTAATTTGAAAATTCTTCAGAAGCACAAAACAAGGATTATAATAGAATTCTGAATTATATTTGTAAAGTTAGTGGATTAGTTCATGGTTGTTCAGAGGTACATTGGGCCAAATAATTATTGCATATGTATTTTTAATTTTATTAAAACAAATGCAAATAATTAAATATTTAACAATCTAAAATATTAATTTTTATTATAAAACTTAAATAATATCTTATTTTAATTTTTTTTACGAAATTCCTAAAATTTCTCAAAATCTTCAATTCTTTCTATTAAGATATTATTATTACATTTATATACTTAAAGCCTCTAGTATCATAATAACAAAAAAAATAAAAATTTTATTTAGACCGTCACTTCTTGGTGGACAAACTATAAAATATTGGTTGACCAGGATACAAAGAGTAGGGCAATGTTGGGTCAAAAAAATACTATTTTAAATCAAATTTTCTAAAGAGTATAGTTTATTTAAATATATATTAACTATTTCAAATAGCCTATACGTTGAGGATTGAGAAGATATTTTATTATTAAAATTAGTTTAATATTATTGAATTTATTCAGGGTTGGATAAAAAGTGTCCCAACTTACCCCGGTTTCCCATATTTTTCCTAACTTTATTTATACAATTGAGCAATACAATTAAAATAAATTTTTTTAAAAAAAGTTTTGGGTTAGCCAAATGACCTTGTTGGACTTCAAAAATCAGCGAATTTCTTGTAATGGGTAAATTTATACTTCTTAAGATTGATATTTATAGAATAATTTTAAAATTTTATTGTTATGAAATTTTGTCTAAGTAAACCACAAAATAACCAAAGATTAGATAAAAAAATTTAAAATTATTTAAGGATAATTTTCAGTTCAAAGTGCCCTGGTTTCGTAAGCCCTACTGGCGTTAGATTTATTAAACATGATTAAAATAATGTCGACATCATAAATATTCGTAAAACTTTCTTAAATAATATAGAAATGTTTAAACTTCATAAAAGTTATGATACGTATAAATTTTATAATAAATTTTATAAAAATTAATTCTTGCCCTGTAAAAATTTTAAACATTTTACATCAAAATACTTTTTATCAAAAAATTTTTAATAGCTAATTATTACAAAATATTTTTTGTATGTATAGATGCTCACTACTAAAACCTATCTTAAGCCAAATTTAAAAAATCCTGGCCTTTTCCCTTAAAAATGGGATCAAGTGATTTGCGACGTCTCTCATTTTAGCTAGCCCAGGCCCCTCTTATGGTCTGGCCAGGGTGTGAGTGACCATAGAAATATTATCATTAAATAGATGAGTCTGGTAAAATTTATATTGAAATTGTAAACAAAAGTCAAATCTTAAATTTGGAACATAATGATACTTATTTATTATACACATTATAATATTTTACGAAATTGATTTCAATTTGTTTTTTAATATATATTATACATAGTATTTTAAATATAATATAATATTTTAAATTATTTATTAAAATATTTTAGTCAATAGAAAAAATAAAACATATTGATATTATTTTTAAACAATTTGATTTAAAGTCTCACGGTATTTTTTCAGATTCTGTTTGTGTGTTTTAATATACAGAAAAATATTTTATTTTATTAATAATATATAATATATGTAAATATATATGTTTATGGAAAATCAATTTTAGAATTTTGGTTTTATATAATTTTTGATGTTTTCTTCTCATTATTTTATGTGTTTTTACAGAATGTTCTGATTGACCATAAGTAACTGACGACACGTGCAACGAAAAAAATTAAATATGAATATTTTCCAATAATCAATCATATAGAAATAAATTTATCAAAAACGGCAAGTATTATAATTCTGCCTTTTGTCGTTCTGATAAATTTTTAAAAAAATTTCATGAGTTTTGGAAATAACAATCGGTTAAAGATGAAAGTGTGCAAAGAGGATTATTGTCATTATTGGAGGAAGCTGCCCATTCGTAAATCGCTTTTGATTGTCTAAGATCGTTGGATAAATCATAATTTTCGATCTTTACATTATTTTGGGTAATATGACTTTTGTGATTGTTTTCCCTTTTATCATCGATAAGTTTTGTCGGCACCATTATCAAAGATTTAGCATTCCCGATTCCTTCTTCAGAGTAGACTTCACTACTGTGTAATAATAAATCATTTTTCCTTTCGTAACACGAAACCCGCGAGCAATCGGTATTTTTATTGGTATAGGTAGTTGAATCTCTGTTCCATAAAATAGCATCTTCTTCGTCATACATATTAGGCCCTGAATCTTCTTCCTTATTGTTAAAATCGATTTCGGAATAAGTATCCACGCCCGACATAAAATTTTTGTTGAGCATAGTCGGTTCGTGTTGTTGATCTATAAAACTTTCATTGTTAACGTTAGAAGGGTCTTTATTGAAGGATTCGTGTAATGATGTGTCGTTTTGGTATGGTTTGCCTATACCACCCGATGTTTTACGATTTCTGGTCTGTATACCATCTTTCTTCATGGTTAAAGGCCGATTTATCTTAATGCATATGAAATATAAACAATTATATATAGTGCTAAATAAATTAGGGTTCAATAAAAAATATTTAAATTATATTTACTTTTGTTTTTGTAATTATGAAATCAAAAAGATTTTAGGCATTTTCAATTTGTCTTAAACACCCTTTCTCTACTCTCCAGCTATGCCAATGATATAAATATCATCGAAGACTTAATACAAACTTTACTTAATTTGAGGCATGACCCGTGTATTTGGAAAAATTTGCTTGGGCTCTTCCGTGACATGGGAGTATATATAACCTCTGAATATCATCACAACTCACTTAAGATAGTATGTAACATTAAAAAAAATCCCGAATTCATGATTGATATAATTCAATTATAATTTAGTTGAGTTGAATAATTTTCCCATATCTTTCCTTATAAAATTTTTTTATCCATGAAAATTATAAGATTTTTTTTAAAATGGTATATTTTAGGCAAATTTGATAAAAAATCTCTCTTCTTCAAAAAAAAATCCTAAAAGATTTTTGCTCAAAATATTTTTTTCAAACTCTGCATATTGGTATATTGGTTTGATACAATATTTTATAATTCAAATTCAATGGTCATTACCCTCCTTCTTTTTTTTACTATGCTTGCCCTTTATAAAAATTTTTTTTAGTAGAATTACCATCTGTATTTGATTATGAATATAAAAAAAATACCATTTAAATTTACAATAGAAATATAAAAGAGACAAAAAATTAATTAAAACAATTAAATCTATATGACCCGAATTTAATATATACACTACATATATAAGTAGCTTATACAATTTAAAAATATCATATTGAAAATTATATTTCATGTATTGTATAATATACCTACATACGAATTGAATAAGTTAAATATTTTATGTAGAGTGATGGTGAAGTCGAGTAAAATATCAACGGAAGGGTAAACACAATTTTTTTACAATCTAAACTGTGAAGGGGTACTAAAGCTTTATAATGGACCAAAAAGCCCTTGAAAACAATTCTAGAGGTATACTATCAGACATTTGGATATATCACTATACTTATTCTGTTTCATATTTTATTAGTCAGGAGTTTTCACTTAGAGTTCCCTGGGGATAAGAAGATTTTTAAATTTCCCCTTTTAGTCTATATTAGGTAAAACAAATAATATAATTCCAAATTTTCATTACCATTTTTTAAATAAAAATTTAATCCGACAAAAGCTAGCAAATGGGCCTAAGCTCGCCAATAAAATTTATACAGAAAAACGCACAAATAATTTTTACATACTAGTGAAAACCTTGATACTCATATGTAATCGTATCGATTGACATTTCATTTCTCTTAATATTTTATGAATTGCCCAATTTAGAATTTAGCCATGTTTATTTTTTTTAAAAAAATTCTATAATTTTTACTCCATACTTTGTAGCATATCTTGAAAAAATGTTTCTCATCAAATTTAAAAAAAAAAAATAGAGCATCATAATTCCTTTTTTTGGTTCACTTTTAGTTATTTATAAGTTATACTTACTAAAACATATTCATTTTTTTTGTATACTATATAAAAGTGTAATCAAATTTATAAATTTTATTATTAATTTAATTAAAGAAATCGCTTTTACACTTTATTTTTTAACAAAATTGTCACGTCAAGATCATATTCGTTTTAATTATAATTCTTAGACATATATTCTCCCCCCCCCCTCCATCTCCCTTCAATTTTTTTAATTTATATAATATATAAATTAGGCATAAAAAAATTTAACACAATTTTAATTTATAAATGTAACATATAGTCCTATAAATCTTTTCGTATATCCGATTTTGTGAATATTTTTATTATTTTATTCAATCACAATTGTTTAAAATTTTTTTTATTTAAAATAACGTTTTTAGTTATATTAGACACGGAAAAAAAAATCTTTTATTGTCGTTCGATTCGAAAGATATTTTAAAAGATAAAAAAAAATTTATAATATTTAGTTTTAAAAAAAGATTGTAATTCATATATTTATTGAACTATATAATATAAATTTAAATATGTATAATGTAAAAAAAATAAGAATATATATTTTTTATAATTTTGAAAGAATTCAAATATTTGTGGTAGCCTATTAGTCTGTTCCATCATGACAAAAAGTTAAACAAACATTTTTATTCTTTTTAATTGTTGCAATATCTAGCAAACAACTGCTGTTGTATCTATTTCAAATTTATTGTAATACAATTTAATTAAAGTTTTATTTGTTAGGGTGTATAATACGTTAAAAAACCCCCAGCATTGTTGGTTTTATATATTTAAATAAAATACTTTAGGTAAATATTTATTTTATAAATTGTGAATATAAATTGATGATATGTGTTAGACTTTGATATTTGCTCAATACCATGTTATTTATCTCTATTTTAATTCTGAAACTTTTATTTATTATCAAATGTTTTTTTATAATTAATGGAGTTATATTATATATACAATGTAATACAGAGTAACCCGCTTTTATAATGACATTCGAATTTCCAATAATGTTTTTCCATTTAGCACCTGGATTTCAGTTCCTTGTAATTTTATATAGTTTTTCAAAATTAACGTCCTGATTAGTACTTTAAAATCGGGGTATCAAGCCCCCTAAAAGTTAAGTAATCCTAGTGATGTTTCCAAAGTTTTCCCACTTGGGGTTAACTGTTTAAAAATTATCAAAAATATATAATGTAAATCTAAAAATGATCAATAAAAGGAATTTCTAACTAAAATGAGCAAAAAAAGTTTTACAAAAAAAATTCATATAATAAAAATTCAAAATCCTTCAGGTGGTTGGTTCTCCAAAGTATTGAGAAAACTTACTTCAATGTTTCATATTGACGCTATTGATACTCCTCAGTGAAAATGATTATTGATGCTATTGAATTATAGACTGAATTATATAAACTATACATCATAGGCATAGCCTAGATTGCATAATTCGCAATTGAGGTAGTGAAAATGAGTGAATTACATCTCTGGATGAAATTATTATGGGCTAATAAAATTATCCCCCCACAAACCCTCCTCTCTTCAAATCAATAAAATTTACGAATCCCTATGTGAACTTAGCTACATTTTATGCGCGACATGGTATATATTAGGGTAAGGAAGATGGGAGTTAACCCAGGAGCCTAGGGCATAGTTTTAAAAATTTATTCACCCACATAAGATGTTAGCATACGAGCACTCATGTTTAAATTTGATTAGTTAGTTTGGTTTTTTTTTTATTTTAATTATTTTTTACCTATAGAATTATGATTGTTAGCGTCAATGTGTTTTTTCCGGGAATGTGTTATTTTTACAACTTTAAATAATTTTTCCCAATTCTAGTATAATTATTTTAAAAAATTATTGTTTATATTAACTATCTATTTGGTAGAGGATGGGTGGGGGTGGGAGGAGTAACAATGTTTATTAATTTAAATTTTAAAAAATTAGCAAATTCTCTATAGGAAGATTTGCCGCTTCACTATTCTAATGATGCTCTATTCTCGGTAGCATAGCTGCTATTTTTCCATAAAAGTTTACTGAATTCGGCACGATTGTTTTTCAATTTTTAGGCACGAAAACATTTCGGGGTAGGCTATATGGAGTAAAATAGTAGTTTATGTAGTATAAAAATAGCGAGTGATTCAAGCTACTAGCGCGCTATGAAAAGCTAGTAGTAGCTGGCTACCTTTTTTACCTAGTACCGGTAGTGCACTACTTTTAAAGATTTCAACAACACAACACACCATATTATTATAATCTAATTATATAGACCATTTATTATTATACAATTACACAATATTGCTTTGATATATATTAATAGGTTATTATAAATCTGATTTTTATCATTCACCAATATCTTTTTATCACAAAATTGCAATCAATTTTTATTTATTTCTAATAGGTGCCCCCAAATCACTAATTAATTTTTAATCAAAAGATTTTATTTTTTAATTATATAATTGACCATCATAAAAAAGATTTTTTCCCGAAATCATTTAATTTAAAATTTATTCAAAAAAAAATGACGATTTAAAAAAAATTACATAAATAATAAAATTGCGATAAAAATCAACTAGATAAAGAATTTTTTTTAAAATAAATTAAATTTATATTTTAGTTTGAAATTTGATTCTTCTGATACTTTTTTAAAATACCTTTTAATTCAAAAAAAGGGGGACTTGATTCGACGACAGGTATATTTTTATACTATGTATCAGAAAAATCTATCTATATACTATAATGATTGTAAAAAAACAATGGGCAAAGTCATGAAAGAAAAAAAAAACAAATTGACTTCATACCACAAGAAGAACGTCTACAAACACCTTTTGAAAGAAAAATTTGATTATTTAATTGTATTTTTGATTTTTATTTTAAGAATAAATAGTTTAGGCGTCTTTTCGGTAAAAATAAAATTATAATTTAAAAATATATATTAGAAATAAATTATACCTCATAAAATAAGAATATGTATAATAAGTTTGCCAATTCAAGAAATATCATTATATTTATTATGATGTGTACATTTTATATTATATAGTATATATAAAATTTATTTGGTATAATTATATTATACTCTATAAATGGGTAGCCGGTTGAAAATTTAAAATCGCGCGTATCGATTTCTCAAAAATTTGGTATCTAAGATTTAAAAAAAAATTACTTTACCCTTTTTAAGTAGATTATTTAAATCAGCATTTGTTAAATTTGCCTGGAAAGGAAGATTTAAAAGGGAAAATAAATGAATTTTTTTTCAAAATAGTTCTGAATGTCTGACCAACCAATCTCAGTTCAGTCGGGTCAAATTAATGTTTCTTTAAGGTTTAAATAAAAAATTATATAACTTCTATTATCATAATTTATCAAAAAAATTTTCAGAACTTGAAATATTAGCATTGCTTATACTTTCATATAGTATCTAATTCAGATTAACTGGATGAAAATCAAGCGAAGATACTATAGATAGAATATTAACATATTCTTTCATATAGTATCTAATTCAGATTAACTGGATGAAAATCAAGCGAAGATACTATAGATAGAATATTAACATATTCTTTCATATTTTTAAAAATATCTAAAAAATTTGGCTGAAAAAATAAACAATTTTAATGTAAAATAAAATATATAAAAATTATCATTTAAAAAAAAATATATCCAACCCCGAACTCCTTATGTAGTTTGACCGAAAATCTCTCATAAATAGTTATCAATCACTATATTATGGCAAAATGTTCCTATTATATTCACCTTTGGAAAATTGTAACTAGTATCTATAACTAGATAATTTTTTGGAATATAACCAAAAAAGTAATTATTTACTTTTAAAAATTTGTTCAAAATTACTGTTTATTAAATATGTCTCACTTACATGCCTCTGTATAACCTTTCTAGAGGAAGCTTATTCTTAATATCACGTCTTTTAAGCACTAATAATGAAAATAGTTTAATTTAGTAATCCCAAATTTATGAAATTAAATATTATATTGAGTTATTTATATATTTTTGCGGTACAAATAAATATTGTTATTTTTTTATTTAATTGTATTTCCATTTAAATTCCTTTGACTAAAATTTGTAAATCACAAAATTATTCTGTAAAACAAAAAATATATAATAAATAAAATGAGCTATATGATTAATTTAAAAGCTAACTTGCAATTTCAATGTAACTAGTTACTTTTGAAATATAATTTTTCTAGTAAGTAGCTACTTCCAAAAAAAGCAACTAGTAAATATAACTAATTACCCTTTTGTGGATTTAACTGTTACTATAACTAGTTACTTTTCAAAAGTATAAACACTTTAAATATTTTATTTTTAAAAAACTTAAAACTAAAATTAATATATGTTTTTGGATATTTATTCTTAGATAAATTTAAAATAATGACAATTTGAAATGATAAAATAGTTAATATTAATTTTAACATGCTTGGAGTTCCATGACGCCATAAGGGGTGGTGAAAGAATTAAAAAAGGAGTTAAGTATGGCAAAAATAATAAAATATATTTAGTTAAGCCTATTTTTTCTTCATAATGATCCAATTTTTTTAAAACTGGAATTTGAGTAATTTTATAACAATAAACATAAAGTGATCAAAATTTAATTCAAATTAAAAAAGGTTAATTATTAAAATTTCGAAACTATGTTAATAATGTAAAACGGGCGTCAAGTGGGAAGGTATAGCTAATAATCCCCCTCCCCCTTGGTATTTCAGAAGAAAAATAAATAATTATTTTAATTAAAAAGGTTAATATTATTTTGATGACATTATATATTATTTAAGACACATAGTTTCTTACTATGGAGTATTTCGTCAATAAAAGATGTTTTGTATTTTCTAGATATTTTGACAACCAGTTTACAAAAACTAGAAACTTTCCTAAAAAATAAAATGTGGTAAAAAAAAATATTGAAAAAGTTTATATTTTTTTAAACTAATTGAAAAAGTTTAAAACTAATGTTACAAAATTATTTCGAAAATGCAAAAACATTTTTTAGCCAGTAGTAAAAAAAAATATATAAGATAAGGTACATATCTTGCAGTTGTTTTTTTTTTTGAAATGAAGACCTATATTCTATATAGGAATTATCGAAATTATAAACCGAAACCTGTGGTGAAAATGAGACTCTGTTTTTTAAAAAAAAATACATTTTAATATTAGCCAATATTCATATATAATTTAAGAGACCATAGAGTATGGGTATGAAGGTTCCAATGGTGTATTAAAAATACTCATAGTTCTTTAATAAATGTATATAATAAGCAAATTTAATATAATGTTTTTTTATAAACAGAAAATATTATATACTATGAGAAAATTTTTGCCTTTTTAATTCTTTGGGGATTTTTTTTAAATGAAATGAATATGATATGAATATGTATAAAAAACCAAAATGATTAATAAAATATAGTGTATAGTACAGTGGTGTCGCTAGGAATGAGCAAAAGCGTGTTCAACAAGCCTAAATTTAATTTGAACACGCCTGTAGATATTTTATATTTGAGTAAAACTTTTTAATTGAAGGCGTCTAAAAAAAGATGGCATTAATTCCTTTAGCACTCCCAAATTATAAAACCTACTGAGCTTCACTTAAATATATTTAGAAATTTTACGACTATGATGAAGCGGGTTACCAGTTATTCTTCATTTAAAATTCGACTTTAAATTTTAACATACTGGTCTTATAATTATAATATATTAACAAAAGTTTGAAATTTTTTTTACCGAATGAAGTTTGAAATAGAGTCCACAAGCATTACAAACTGGATCGCCATTATTATTCCGTCTCCAAAGAGTTGTTGTGCCAGTTTGACAATTAGCGCAGCTCGTTCCTATTCGTCTTGATGTCGTCTTTTAAAATGGATGTATGTAAAAAAATATATTAAAATATTTAATATATTCTTCATTCAGCTTTAGGATAAAATTTCAAAATGTGTAGAATATATATACCATTTTTAACATCCTTCTCTTGGGTTTGATTAGAGGTCTACTAGATCCGTTCATTTTATGATATAAGCCGCACGCGTTACATAGATAATGACCGGTACCATCTCTACGCCATAAAGGAGTTGATGTGGCCCCACAATTGACGCATTCTCTTCCTTCTAGAAAAATTTAACAATATAAAGTACATCGAGTATATTATATTTATTTCATTCAAAATTTATAAATATGTTGCAAAATCACCTGAACTTGATCTACTCTTAGTCCTTGGTCTTATGAAACTTTTTAAGGCAAATGTAGAGGGATTTTGCGAATTGGATAAATGTAAACGATCAAAAAATGTGGTGGAAGAAGATATAAAATTTTTATTGGCATTGGACACACACATTTCTTGATGCGGGGACGAATTAAAAATATTAAAATTTTCAAACTTAGGCGATAGCGAATTGTTTTCGTAGTGAGTGTAATTTTTATTGTAGAGAGTGACTACATCGTTATGCATATAAGACAAGGGTGAATAATGAGGTTGTGTCTGGACGGTACTCATGTTTTCTTTGCGTTCGGTTTGACTTTTTTGGTTAATTTGAGATATTTCAATATCAATATGATTTTCCTTCTTGATCTGTGTGGTATAAGGTGGGGATTCTTTGTTTATTGCGAGACCATTATTTTCACTGTAATCAGTTATGTCAACAGTATGTTTCATATTTTTTAATTTAGTACTACTACTCATTTTCATTTTATTAAACTTTTTAAGTAGTTTTTTGCTTTTAGACTGGTATTTAGATGGCGAGATTTTTCCAATGCAGCCTTCTTCATCGATTCCGTTGATTTCGAGATTCAATTTATTAACGAAGGAAGATTCTATATCGATATTATTTTTGCAAGATGGCATGGTTGATAGAGAACTGTAAAGCGAATCTAGGCGTGAAGATGTGACTTGTATAAATGGTAAAAAGGGATCTTTGGGTGGAGTGGGAGGAAACGATATCGTGGTTCTAGCTAGTGTCTCATCGCATTCCATCATGCATTTGCGTTGATCGCAACTTATATTGTTAAATGAGAATATATTTTCGCTCTTACCTTGTTTAAGACCTATCTTGAAATCGTTTTGAGAATTTTGGGCCGAGAAACTGGATTTCAAGTGGTCGACATTATTGTTGATACTATTAGTAACACCCGAATTATCGAAATTGCTTGCATATTCACTGAGACGAAAAAAATCGTTATTAATAGGAATCTTATCTGTCGTAAGTAGTGGATTTCCATAATCTAATGTTGGGTTAATATTTGCTTCATAACCGGATGGCGGTGCTAGGTGATAATTCAGAGGGTATCCATAATGCGCATGATGGTTAAAATGGTTATAACTGTAGGGGTTATTGACGTCATTATTGTTATTCGCAGCTGGATGCATTCCGGGATGATTGGTATGCAATTCGCCACCGAGTCCGCCATTAAAAGAAGCGTATTGGTCACACACTTTGCCTAGAACACTATTATTGACTGGATAACTAGGATTGTTATAATAAAGGGAAGATGGAGATGGATTAGGTCCACACCACACGTTTGTATTATAATTATAAGTGAAGTTGTAATTGTAGTTAAAATTATTGTGAGATCTGGGTTCTAACATATTTTCTATACGAGTTGAATTTTTGGAGAAAGTGATGAAATTAGGCTGTTGATAATTGCTCTTTATAGTGACAAGAAGTGTTAAGGAAGATGTTTCTCCATAGTGTTTATTTTGACATTTTCATGATCGAATCTCTATTTTTAATTAATATTTAATTTTTAATTAAACTAAAAAGATTTTTTTTTAAATATTAAAAACAATCATTTTAATAATATAGTAAAAATTAAAAAATAATCTTTAAAAATGTTACAAAAATATAAAAATTTTTTTTTTATAAATCTTGAAGAAAGTAAATAAAATATGAATGATATTTTAAAAATTGGAAAATTCTATTTTTTAAAATATAACTGTTGTTAAAGTCATTCATCACTTAAACGACAATACAACTGACAGTTACGATAATATTATTTATTTAATTTAAATGTCTCTCCTCAACTCTATGTTATTTTATTATATTTATAAAATATTATATACTTGATTTTTTTTAAAGAGTTCTCCTCTATCTTGTTCTTCTTATCTATATATATAAAATCGGTGTATCTTCAAAAATAAATATTTTACAAACCAATTTTCAAAATTTTACATAATATTTTTTTTAAAAAATAAATTAAAAATAAAAACATATGAAAAAAATTATTTTAAAAATCATATTTAATAAATAATCCTTTTTTGTTGAAAAAAAAGAGAGAAGTCTTATAATTAGCAAAAAAACAAATTATAGTAAACTTTTAGCTTTCCATAAATTACAAAAATGGCAAAAATGAATACAAAATATTTTATATAATTTTTTTATAAGATCATTAAATTCAAATTTATTTTGATGAATTACAAAATTATTATCTAATGAAGCGTATAAAAATTTGAAATCAAATTTTTTTTTTTGATTCTTGCTAAATATATAGAAACGGATCAATATATACATTTGGTTATAATTTTTTTTCTTCCCTTTTTATATAATTTTATGAGGTAATATAATATCTGGAATGGAATCATTTAGAATTTTAATTTTATTTTACATTTTTTAAAGGTCAGATCCAATTTCCATGATCCGATCATTAAATCCCCCCCCCCTTTCCCCCAAGACCCATTTTTTTAATAAAGTTGTTATTAAGTTGATAAATAAATCGGTTCTCAATTCCATAGTAACTTACGAGTTTTTGGCAGAAAAGCCTATAGACGCAGAAAAGCCTCTAAGTGTAACAGGCGCATAGTCAGTGGGAAGGGAGAAGGGGGGAATCCACCTTCCCCCCCCCCCGTAGCAAACATTTTTGAAAAATTAATTAAGGTTTTTAAGAATTGCGAAGTATTCTATTTCAAATGTATTCTATTTTAATTTTAGCAGAAAGTTTTAATTTAAAGATTTCTTCCTCGTGTATTAACATTCTATCCCACAAAAATAGTATATTTTCTTACTATTTCCTAAACCTTAAACACTGATGAATATAAGAAAATTTTATCATCAAAATATTTTATCTTCTAATAACTATGAATAGGCGAAATTTCCAGAGTGTTTGAAAAATTCAGATATCCAAAGAGACTGAATTTGTTTAATAAAATTATTTCTAAGACTTCTTCTTGTGTTGTGCTTCAAAGAAAGAAACTGCAAAAAGAAGGCCCGACTCGAGACTTCGACATAAAACTTTAACAGAATTTTTGGATCTAGAAGAGCTTATATTGAGTGCCCTTGGATAAATATCATAATGATCTTAACCATATATTTTATTGGAAGCTAATATGCATTAGCTATAATACTATAGCAAATTTTCTTTTCATTTGAATGTATTAATAAATTATTTAATTATGAAACCATTTTATGCAATATTTTACAAAAAATGATATGAATTTGGTTAGGTTTATGAGAATCGCTAATATATTTTATAATGGGAAAATTAAGAGATAATATCGACCAGGAATATCACGAGATTTATGTGATTGATAATGCGAAAGCGAAATTATACGATTTTGAAATTTGTAAGCCTCGACTTGCACTTAGACAAACAAATCTTTCCAATATGGACAATGGAGGACTACTTAAATAACCGTTTTTATTTCACTTTTCTTTTGGATAAATTTTTGTCTTAAATAAACTAACGATTTCTGATTCATCAAATACCTCTATCCAATTTACTAATATTATAACAAAATTCTTCTGAGGATATTAAATCTTGATATTGAAAAAGTTAAATATTTAGCTAATTTTATTCAAAGGATATAAGTGAATCTGAAGGTCAATTATCTTCAGAATTTAAATCTTGGTATAAAATTTATTTTAGTAGATAATCTTCCAAAAAATCTAATGGAAGCATTGTATCAATTAATACAAGCACATATGAAAAGAACTTTTCTTCATTACAAAGAAATCTCATCAGTACGATCTCAAAAAATCAATTGAATAGATTAACTTAATATACATCGAGATTTAATACCCAACAGAATAAAAAATTAACACAATCGCAAAGTTTACATTTTCATTTATAACCGATATTTTGAATAACTTTTAAAATCATCATTGCTTAATTCTATATTTTACGATAGTTTACTTACATACCGATTTATATAGTTATACTAAGCTTTGCTTAACAATTTTATATTCGCTTTAAATATTTGTATTTTCCAATATTTTTTAGTTGAGTTTTAAATTGTCACTTTTTAAAATATGATTGGTTATAATAAATTTTACATGACGATTAGTTTTTTTAATAAATTTTCCATGTTCCTATAAAAATCATTTTAATTTTTTTTTAAATTTACTTCCCCTGTAAAAAATTCCTGGCTACGCGCCTGAGGCACAAGTGTTATGCCATTGAATTAAGCCATGAAAATAAGTAGTGAAAACTTCATAAATGCTATGTATATAAATAAGGTTAAATTCCTAAGAGGAGAAAATACAGATTATTTTACTTATATCCAATTCCAAATGAAATAACCAATTTTTTCCTATTTTGCTACAAAAATGTTGATCATTAAGGATTATACATCGTAATATGTATATAAAACATTTTAGATATTTTATTTTAAAAATGATAACTTGACAGAATACAGATGACAGTTCAAATAAAATTATTTAATTTGCAAAAATTGATAAGAATCATCAAATCTGCTCAACACTGTATTAGGACCTGGGCCTGAGGCATATTGCCAACTTTAAAATACTACGATTAAAAAGTATTATAAGTAAATAAATAAAAAATTAATTTTTTGTAATTTTATTTTTTAAAATATTTGAATACTAATAAGAAACGATTTCTGAATTAATGATTATATTTTGAATCTAAAATCCTGAATGATTAGAACAATTAGTTGAATATAATGTTTAGATTTTATTTACAAATTTGGAAATTTTATAGATATAAAATTCTTGTTAGTAAAACCATTTGTTTGGGGGCCCGGTTCTCGAAAAATTTTTGACCCCCCCCCCCTCCCCCCTTCCCAACAAAATATTGCAGATTTTGTTTTTTTGACATTTTCATATATTTAGAAGTGAATTGTAATTTTAAAAAAATATCTATTATGTTTTAAATTACCTAATTTAGTCACTAATCATTTATTTATATTTTGCTTACATTGCCTAATTTAATCCATTACCTAATTTATATTCTAATTTGGATAAATCCTGCTTACGTCACTGCCGCTATGGGTGGAAGGTGAAGGTTATCTATTTAAATTGGTTATATAGATGAGTTATCATCCATTCTGGAATTTAGATCAGTACTGGCTATATGACCTGCTGATATAAAAATTTTAAAGCAAGACCCGGACTTTTTTTTTTTTTAAAAAAAAATTTATTTCAAGCTTTGACCAAAATTTTAAAACTATACCAACGGCGTTATTTAACCCTTACCACCAATTTTTAGGCTAACTATATCGGGCCTTTATTGGCTTATACTTAAACCCGAGTCTGAGGGTAGATGACCATGATTCTTTAATCTATAGAATTATCATTCCAAATGTATAATTTGGTTTTTTATAAATGTTGAATAAAATGGGCAGAGATTCCACAGGCATACCAATCTTCATCTTTTCGAAAATCTTCCTGGTTTTTAATATTTTGCCAAAAACCCATTTACTACCCAAAAATTATTAAAATTCCTTTCTAGTATGCAAAATATATTTATGCTCATAATTTAAAATTTTGTATAGATATTTCTTGAAGTCTTAGCTTTAAAATAAAATTTACCGGAAGTTTGTATCTTAACTAGAAGTCACGCAATGACGATTTATACAATATGTACAATAGTTGGGATAGGTTCTAAATCGCTAAAACTAAAATGGCAAAAAATTTGGGATCTCGCTTATATATCCTAGAAAATTTTCAATGCAAATTTGATATTAATATAAATAGATGCTAGGGAAGTAAACACTTTATTTAAAATAGAGTTTTTAAAAAAATTACTAAAAATAGAGGAAATATTATCATTGTTCCCAATTTAATTCCCAGAGATTCCCAATTTTTAACGGTTTTTGTTTTAGTGATTTGGAATGGGAACCGACTGATTAACTACAAAAAATCATTTTTAAATATTAACGTCTACACCATATTAAAAGATATTTTTGAGCAAAAAGGAAAATAGATAAATAGTGTGGATGTTATATGGAATAAAAATTTAAAAAAAGTCTCAAAGTTGAAGAATATTTGAAATATAAGATGTGCCTAAAATAAATGTGTTATAATTTATTTACATACTACTATATTGATTAATTTATAATTAAAAGTAATAAATAGATGTCAAAATTGTTCATATTTTATTCAATAAACAATAAAGTTGAGTTCTGATTTATTATAACCACTTTACCCTGGTGCATAGCCATTTTACCTCGGGTATGGGGTAAAATGGCGAAAAGAGTACACTTGACATAATTAATCATAGCTCCTAGAATATTATAGGTAAAGAGCTGCACTTTTTATTTTTAGGTGATTGATTGGGCTACATATAAATCTATAATAAGTTCTGATTTTCTCCGCAATGCGTAGGATTAGTCAAAAATACAATCATATTAGCACCAGAAAAATTTATTGAAATATTAAATATGATTTAGTCAAAACTTTGTTATTATTAAAATTTGCAACTTCTCTATTTTTGACATTCCCATTTTATAATCTTATAGGAAAT